AAGTTCCTGCTGGTGAATATGGCAGATTTAGGGGCAGATCCCATTTCTTGGTTGGTTCTGGCTCATTGTTCGATCGCCGAAAAGTTACTGAGATCGCGGAATGACTGCGCCACCTTCCAATCTTTCTCGAAGTAGTTAAGCCTAATTTCGCGAATATGCGGATGGTTTTTTGTGTATATTCTTGTAGAGGAAATCAAGTAGACCATTTCTAAAAAAAGCCCGAACTCAATAGTCAAACACTTTCGGGAGAAAAAAAGCCGCGAAAAAATCCGCAGTAATTATGCATCAACCTAATAATTTTGCAAACTTCTTTAAAGTTGAAGTGGATTCAAGTGAAAGCTTTGAAATCTTAATCATATCTACCTTCCCAGGTTATCAATGTTTAGGTCGCACATCCATAATTTTTTCAAGATGCCTCCCGTACGGGTAAATGCCAGAGCATAATTGCAACCTTTTGCATTTTTCGGTTTTATACTGCCTGTTGGGACCCGGAATGAAGTGGACTTTTGTATATGATAGTAACGGCAGGTCTTTCTATGACAACTCTGACCCTTGATAACTGCGATACGCTTATTACCGTTATGATATTATGACGGGCCACTTAGGATTACGATATGCTGGTTTACGGACTATCATAAAAACCAACTCGTGGAAACAGGGAAGAGGAGGTGAAATGGCCACTGGCGCATCATGAGAGCGCATCCAAAACGGGATTGATTAACGCCAAAGGATTTATTTTTTTGTAAACCCCCGTAAACTGTTTCTAAAAACTCACGCTTCTCGTGAAAGTTTCATTAACTCCAATATAGTTGATGAGTCCATAGGAGCACTTATTGGAATAAGCTCACCAAATCGAAGCCTACAAAATTACTCGTTGTGTGTAATGGAATCGAAGTTCTCGCATTCAACATGTATTGCATACATTAGCCAAATATTCTCACCTCGACAAAAAAGCGATGATTTCACTGCGCGAAGAATGATCAGAATAGGGAATAGAGATCAGTTTTTCTTTGACAAGACTGAAAATTCAAATGAATCGTGAATTCATCTTTGTTAGATTGTGAAAGTCACCATAATTTTCCGCACATTTCAAACGATCTTTCAACGGAGACGATAAGGATACGTTCTCGTTTAGAGCAATGACCCGCTTTTGGAATAAGACTTGCCTCCTTTTCCAGAGAACAAAACAAAATATGAACACTTACCCCTTATATTCGCCTCGGACAGAAAGATCAAGGACCACTTTTGGATCTGGCATTCTTTTTAACGCATCCAGCACCTTTCTGAAAGAAATGGGTCCATGAAACGGAAAAAGAACCACATTAAGTTAGCGAACCTTGGATGCCTCTGCGAGGTACATATACGAGCTGAGCTGTCATTTGCGTCGCTGAACTCGCCATTTTTCATATCACAAACTTTCCTTACGTTTATTCGAGCACTGCTTGTTGAAATGACTTCCTAAAGCGAGATTTTACTTGATAGAAAATATTTACTCATATATTTCAAATGAATACAAGGGTGAGCAACAACATCACTTCACATAAGATCATCAACAGCCATACTTTTTATTGGAAAAGTAGGCGCGCTTTAATGCAATATAAACTTTTCTTTGAACGTGCCGGGGAAAAATTCAAGGTGCAAGTACCTTGAGTCCATCTTGTGCTCTGTGATCGTTAGGGCGACGGGGTTTTGACAAAGGTTAGCAATTGATAGCTCAATTTTCCCAGTAGAACCGCACAGGTTAATCGGTCGTACAGGGAAATGCGATTATGGGCACGAAAAAATAAAACTGTAGCGATTAGGACCAAAATAGACCACTCTTCAATGATTTTGACTTCCTGTACACTGTTCGAAGAACGATGAAAGATATGGACGTGCCAAGGTCAACGATGAAACGAATTGTCTGTAAAGAAATGAAATGGTAGACATGGAGAAGTAGTTGGTATTCCAGAGAGAAAGGAGAAGATGATGAGGAATGCAGAAAGAAGAAAGAATAACGCTAAGGGTATGATATAAAGGGTGAGGCAATGACCTTCGAAACAACGCGTTCGAATGGCGCTGTGCCTACGCTCTCCAGCGCGAACAATGTGGCCGCTGGTTGGACTTCTTGAGAGGCTATGATGTAGAAACCAAAATATAATCTGTCAATCCTCCGATAATTGTGACGAGACAAGTCTGGTAACTGAGCCCTCGAAGTTTATTACCTAAAGAACTGCTGTATCACTTTGTTCGCATTTTTTCTGTACCTTCTCCATGCACGTAGCGAGGTGAACACGCTCACCGATCTCCACAACATCATTTCTGCCTATAAACCCGACCCACTTTTTATCACTGAAATCTGGCTCAATTCCAAAATTCTGAGATTGTTTCTGCTTTGCCTTACAAAATCTTAAGAAGGAAAAGAGAGAACAAGCGAGGTTGTCGGCTTTGTGCTCTACTGCAGCAACACATTTACTCCAAAGTTATTCATTTTTATCCTCCTAGCATACCTGCAGATGTTCATTGTTTTGATATGCTTTTCAGCTCATTTGAGTACACTCGCTTTATATGATTTATCGACCTCCTAATCAATGTGCGTCTGATGACGAAATGTTGTGCAATCACATTTATGATTTGTGTTCGAGTCTTTTAATATTGTCTTACTCGGATATCTCAACCTTCATATCGACTGCACCAATCGCGATGCACCCTCAGCCCGCAGACAAAAGTTTTGCCGTTTCGTCACCCTGTTTTCCCACCTGAATCTTATGCAGAATATTTCCCATTCTGTGGGGATTCGATTCTTGATGTTGTCTTTACCTTCCCAAACCTTTACGCTAGTGTCACTATCAAACCTCCACTTAATACTTCAGATCACAATGAGGTCAACTTTCGGATCGATATTCCAATCCATGATAGAGACAATAATTGTGACATTGGTTGGAAAGAATTTTCCGAAGCTAATGTAGAACTGATCAACTCTGAATTTGATAAAATTGATTGGTTCTCTATGTTTGATCAATGCTGCTCCTTTGATGACGTTTACGCTAGATTCTTATTTACTATGCACGATATCATTGAGCGACATGACAATGGAAAACGGATCTCCCCATAGGAAAGATACCCTCAACGTCCATGACCTATTCGAATATAGAGAAAAACTGTTTTATAATTTTGACAATCCCATTCGACTTTCATTCTTTCATTCAGAAACATAGTGACGGTTTGAATGCCTATGGCCGAATCACTGACTTTCGAGGGCCATACAATGTGAAAGCCAGTGCTTTCATCCTCTCAGAAGAGTCTGGTACCAATTAACCGTTCCCTTGGGGATGGAGGAATTATTCGACCTAGGCGGATATCACTCCAGGATTTGAACCGTGGACCAAGCGCTGTGATATTGCGTTGCTTATCCCTATACCAAAAATTAAACCGAAACAATGCTAAAAAGAGCAAAATTTTCTACAAACCGAGAACGATTGACTAATCCTTTCAAGTATTTCTTCCCGTCCGAGTTTGAACACCGGTATCAAGATAGAACAATTATGAAGCTTTTCCAATTCAGA